TCAGGGTCGATTCCGGTACTAAATTCAATCAATTCCCTCAATATTCGGAAATTGAAGCTACCCATTGCTGAATCAAGAAATAAGTTACATCTGTTATAGGGTGTACCCTGGTTCTTTCCTGCTCAAAACCAGCAGGATTCAAATATGTAGAAGGTGCACATTGTGAGAGGCACCCCCAAACAGTTTTGATAAAATAAAATGAAATGAAAAGAAAGTTACATTAACAGTGTGTGTTAGTTGCTATATCCATCTCCAAGACTACAGGAATTTGGGAGTTGCCATACATGGATCGGAGGAGAATTCTTGAACCCAATGAAGTTGATTCTGAGGAGAATTCTTGAAACCAAGTGAAGCTATTTTATCCCTTTTGGTTTGGAGAATTTACAAAACTAGAGTGCCACTACCTTGAATTTTTCGCTCCTTTAACTCCTTTCCGTGAAGAGCACACTAGTTACCAAGTGGCAGTGACAACACCTTCCACAGGTAGTCACACGCGCTAATTGCATGTGTTGGGCAGAGGTACCCCCTATTTTGATCAACCTGTTAGGCACCTCATTCGTATGCGCTGCCACCTGCACTGCAGATTTTTATTCTTTATTTAGTTTTGGGACTTCTATCCTAATTTAGTTATATGGATAGAAATTATGAATAGTTGGGTCAGATTAGGAGTTTATTGAGCCAAGAGTTGTAATTGGCAAGGAGTTTAGTTAGTAGTAGAAGTCTAGTTAGAAGGTCGATTCTATCTATATCTTCTTGAATATTGTTTTTGGGAGGAAGAAATTTAATAAAAGTTGGAGGACGATTCCTCTTGAAGGGAATCAATTTCTCACAAGATCCTTGTATCCTATCATCTGGTATCAGAGCAATTCTTTTCCTGGTATCATCATGGTTACTGTGAAAGAATTGACTGAACTGTGAAAGAATTGACTGAACGTGTTGAGCAACTGGTATCAAGAATGGATCAACTAGCGGGTGAAGTTCAGGAAATCAGAGAAGCCATTCACGTGATTCAGGCATCCTTTGACCATAATTTTGCACAAATTTTCTATAGTAGCCAGTAAGCCCCATAAGCTCTCACCACGATTTTATGGACCTTTTCGTGTTCTTTCACGCATTGGAGAAGTCGCTTATAAACTGGATTTGCCTATAGAGTGTCGTATCCATCCAGTCTTTCACGTTTCTTACCTCAAAAAGAAACTTGGAGAAATGGTGCAACCTGCTCCACAGCTCCCTCCCATTCAGATAGTGGTGTTACTACGTGGCAGCCACTTCGCATTCTGGATCGTGAGTTGTTTAAGCGCAACAACAGGCCAGTTACACGCCTTCTTGTCCAGTGGACTGGATTTTTTGCTGCTAATGCAACTTGGGAGGATTATTCAGACTTTATCGCTCGTTTTCCAGCTTTTCCAACTTGAGGACAAGTGGGGATTTCAAGGAGGGGTGGATGTTAGGCACCTCATTCGTATGAGCTGCCACCTGCACTGTAGATTTTTATTCTTTATTTAGTTTTGGGACTTCTATCCTAAATTAGTTATATGGATAGAAATTATGAATAGTTGGGTCAGATTAGGAGTTTATTGAGTCGAGTTGCAATTGACAAGGAGTTTAGTTAGTAGTAGAAGTCTAGTTAGAAGGTCTATTCTATTTATATCTTCTTGAACATTTTTTTGGGAGGAAAAATTTTAATAAAAGTTGGAGGACGATTCCCCTCGAAGTGAATCAATTTCTCACAGGATCCTTGTATCCTATCACAACCTCTCTCTCTTTCTCTCTCTCTCCATATGAGAACAACAATCAAGCACAGTTTCTTCAAAACCACACTCAGATTCACCTCTCCAACTTTGTGCAGCCCATGTTAACACCCTAAAATATTTGATGACCCACATTCTAATTGTAAGTACCCAGTTGAATCTTATTTGATTTATGGTGATTTAGCATTGATTGAGGTAAGAAAATGTAATATTCAGACATTGAAGTGGATTGAATTCCAGTAGAAGTACCTGAACAACTGGAGGGTGACCACTCTTGATACTTGTATCTTCAATCTCACCATTTTCTGCAGCTCTGCTTAGGCGCTCCTTAAATTGCTCATACTTCCTCTGCACATGTACAACACTCATTGAATAACATATGATCTTCAACTTAATTTGATAAAAAATAATCCTTAGTTCAATCAAAATTTATGAACCGTTCACCAGAGTGCTGTATGGGTATATCAAACTCAAAAGGATACAATTCTCATGGTTAATGGTCCAACTACGGTATTGGTACCCAACTTTTCATAAAGTTAGTTAATCTAGTCTAAATAATATTTTTCAAAAAAAAAATACCCAAAATTGAACGGAATGAAGTGCATCATCACGAAAAACTAAGACGTGTGCACATTTTTTGTGGTGATAAAATCTAATTATAAAAAGTTAGGGTTTTTCGCACTTTGAATTTTTAAAAAATTTAAGATTGATTAAATTTTTTATATTATAATCTCAATAAATTAAAAGTATTATAATATTATCCTTTTATTTACTTCTATTATTTTACAAAAAAATTAACGAAAAATTTACAAAATATTACATTATAATAATTTTGATATATTGAGGATGTAATATAAAAAAATTAATATTTAAGACTATAAAGTGAATCTTAAAATATGTTAGGGTACAAAGTATAATTCGCCCTAATATAGTGGAATAGTATATAGATAGTTGAAAAAGAACATAGACAAAAAATACATGGAAGGTCAAAGTGGACATCAAGTAAAACTTCAGGGGTAAAACGTGTAATTATCCCTTACCTCAATAGTCCTTCTTTCTTCTCCAAAGTCACTGTTATCACCATCATCACCACCTAACCCAGCAAAGTAAGCCTCTGGACACCTACTCTTGATCTTATACTTTCTGCAAAAAGGTACCCAAAACTTTGCGAAACCCCAAGCCTCACGAGTAGCTTTCAACACCACAGAAGAACCACCATCGTCGGAAAGATAAACCGACAACTTTTCCGTCGGATAATCCAGAGCCATGGCCGATAAAACTGTGTTCATCACCCCCACAGGAGGCTCCTTCTTTGGGTCTGCAGTGCATATAAAAACATCGACCGCCGGAAGTTCTTCATCGGCCGGTAATCTCTCCGGGTAGACAGTCCGTGAGACGGGTCTCCACCCAAAAGCTGATTGGAGGAGAGAGAGGAAGAAGAGAAAGAGTTCGGAAGCAAAGACCAGAAGCCATGGGAGAGTGGGTAGTGAGAGAGTACTGTCTGTACGATAGAGAAATGAAGAAACCCTGTAGTAGATGATGGCGATTAGTGCAGTGCACTGAAGAAGTGTGTTTGATCTGTTGATTATGGCGGACCATTTGTGTACTGTGCGGTGATGAAGAGGCAGAGACTCCATTAGAATACAGAGTTGATTAGAGAGACGGCTTTGATTTGCGTTTTTATTAACAAGAGAATTGTAATACGTAACCCCGGAGGTTATAGGCTTATAGCTTAGTTGACTTTCAGTAGAGTGGAAGTTTGGTCCTCTTCAAATGAATTTGAATTTATTTGTCATAATCAATTATATTATAATCGGATCGTTAGAGGATCGAATTAATGATTCACTAGTTTAATCATTAATAATTCACTAGTTTAATCATTAGATCAATTGATCAAATTAATCTTATAATAAAAAAATATATAATATATTAATTTTACTAAAAAATTCATAATCAAAATAAAAATAAAAATAGTATAATTTGTATTTACCGTGTATTTTAATTGTTGAGGGTGTTTATTAAACTATTGTCTCTAATTCTCTGTGTGCACACCTGTTTAGACAAAGAGAGAGAGAAGAAGACAATACCCAGTCCAGCATCTCTTACTCCATTAACGTGAGTGTGTGTCTACGTGGAGGGAGGGAGAGAAGAGAAGAAAAAGTCTAATATTCGATATAGAGAATACGCTGTTTGAGAGCTAATCTAGAAAAGATGAAGAAGACAGAGTGGAGGAAGTTTGGTGTTCAAAATCTGGTATTCGAGATCTACATTTGTAGTGTGGTGTTGTGTACCGCTGTTTGAGTGCTTGATTTGAAGAAGAGGAAGGCCAGTTTTGAACCGTAGATTTTTTTGGACTTCGTTTCATCAATTCTTGTTTATTGGCTGGTTTTGTGATTTTTCAACGGTTCAATTATTTAAATGGTCTTTTAAGTAAATCGAACCGTTGAATGTCTCAATTCACCGATTTATTAGTCCGACCGACCAATTCGATCCAATTCTAATTACACCGAGCATAATAGCCTTAGGAATTAAATATTGTTAAAGAGTAATTTGGCTATCCTAAGTTATTGTTTAAATTAAATATTTTATATTAAGTAAAAAATTCAATGTCACGTGTTGGGGGTCCGGGTCACCCTTTCAACTATAAAAAAATAATTGTAATACTTAAAAAAAAACACGTGTTTTTTAAGTGATAATATGACAACCAACTTTTTTGACATTCAAGTTACTGACAAAGCATATAGAAGGCTAATTAATTAGTTATTTATTAAAATTTATAAATTAATGGGCCCGGCTCAAGGCCTAATTCAGAGTCTGACACAGCCAGCCAAGACTTAACTCGAGTAGTGGGCCTGACTTAGACGAAGTCTAGTGAATTTGGTCTAGAAGAAATCTAGATCAAGTTAGATGCATAAAAGCCCCGACAATCACGTCATCTTGGAGCGAAGGAGTTAGCGATGTCATCTTAGAGTCTCATTCACGTCATCCTAGAGTGAGAAGGTCTACCACACAATCTTGGGATCTGGTCTTGAGGAGATCTCCACGCCCTCTCAACAAACCTGTTACAAGGATGACATCAACTCCAGCAAATCAGCCTTTTTGTTACTGATAAGGCACCTCAAGGTGCTTATAAATTGTAAGTTTGGCCTATATATGAGGGGACATCTCTCACATCTTGTATCTCGACTATTACTCACACTTGAGAACTCAACACTCCTTGAAGCAATAAAACACTCAGGCCAACCAAAGCCCTTCAAAGTGAAGTAAGTCACCCTGACCGAACTACTTTATAGTTGTGTGTTGCTTGAATTGATCTCATCTTGATATTTACTGCATTTATTACCTCCTATTTTAACTACTCGATAGGTGATGCATAAAATCGATGTGTGCATCATTAGTTTGACGTCATTTGTGGGAACGACTAAATTTTTTATTATCTTTCTATTTCTTCCTATTTTCTTTCCATTTTGTGGCTATTACGACTCGATCCATGAATCAACAAACGGAAGAGAATGATTCACCATGTCGTGACGAGGTCTTATCTCCACCAGCAAACCTCATCGATGTGGCAAATCCCGTAGCCGAACAGCAACTATTGAAGACAATGTAGCTGTTGGTGAACCAAAATCAGCAAATTCTTCAATTGATGCTCGCCAGACACCTTCAACGAGTTGTGCCCCAACACCATGAGGAGAAACACCCTAGGCAATCCACCCAAGGTGCCAAGGCACCCTTCAACAGGGCCCCAACACCAAGGTGCCTAGTGATAGGGTGCCCCTTAGTGCTAGGGCATCCCCCCTCAACGCTCAGGCTCCTCCTCCTATGCCAGCTCCGTCCTCTCATGCTAGTGACCCTCCTATGCACGAAGACGAGGGAAAAAACCAATACATAGATCATGAATGCCACTACAATGGTCCTTCGAGAAAGTGTCCCTAACCAATGAGATGAAAAAATCAAGGAGGTTCAAAATCAGTTAGATGGCTTCTTCAATGCCATTAAGGCCGTAAGCACCGAAAACAGTCGACTACCTTGTAAGACACACTAACACTCCATTCGTAGCTAATGTAGCCAGCTACCCTCTCCCCCCAAAGTTCAACATGCCAATCGTAGAAGCTTTTGATGACTCCAAAGATCCACTGGACCATCTTGACACCTGCAAATCTTTAATGCAGCTTTACAACATACTAGACGAGATCATGTGCAGGGCTTTCCCTACCACCCTTAAGGTATCTGCTCGTCAATGATTTGCCAAGCTTACCCCAACTTCTTTTGACTCTTTCGCTGAACTAAGCAAATCCTTCATTTCATACTTCATTAGGGGACGCTGACACCAGAAACCTAACACTTACCTACTCAGCATCAAGCATGACCGAGATGAAAGTCTAACGAGTTGTCTCACTCATTTTAACGAAGAAGTCCTCTAAATTAAAGAACCATATGACAAAGTCGTCATGTCGGCCTTCATAGAAGGGTTAAGCTCATCCAGTCTTATGTTTTCAGTTTTGAAGTGTCCGCCAAAGAACATGCTAGAATTACTATCAAAAGCCCAAAAATATAAAAACATTGAGAATGTCATCAAAGTCAAACAAGTTGAATCCTCATGTAGAGAGGAGTGCAAAAAATAGAAACCACCAACCACTAGTAAGACGCACAACACCAACAACCAGCGCCCAACGTCCTAACACCTACGGCACCCATGCTCGCAGTGCCCAGCGTCGTTGCCCAGCACCATCATCTATGGCACCCAACGCCACTGCCCACATGCATAGCGTCTGCGCCTGTATGCTTGCACTTGTACGCCTACACCCATGTGATTGCACTCGTGTGCCTGCGCATATCTACACCTGTGCGCCCATCGCCAGTGCCTGCGTCGCCCGTTGCATCACACGTGCCCACCTCTTCAAACAATTTCCTTGGGGCCTACCTCATCTCATATGCAGCCATCTCCTCAAACGCCCTTGCCTTTCATGTCAAAAGCCCATGCTTTGTTGGCTTTGTGCCTCCCACACAACGCCTCAATGCCCGCACTAGAATGCATCTCCTACCGCTAGCGCCCCTCTAGCTATCCTCATTGTCATATCCCTTCTCTTCTTTGTCTCTTAAGATAGAGGCTCTCGAGTCACCAGAAGTTTGACCTAATTCTGTCTATACTCTCGTGCAAACAACCTAAATCTCCAACTTAGTAGCTCTCTCGTGAGTCGGCAGAAGCTTGGCCTCACTCTGCCGCTGCTCTCATGCAAGCAGCCTCAATATCCAACTTAGTGCCTTTCTCGCAAGTCGTTAGATGCTTGACTTTGCCCTCATGCAAGGAGCCTCACAGTCAGCTTACCTCCAACTTAGAGGCTCTCTCATAGGTCCTCAAAATCTCGGTCTCAAGAGGTGCAACTCTCTCGTAGGCAACCCTCAAACTTTGTCTCTGCTCTCGTGCGGCCAGCCTACCTTCAACTTAGCGACTCTCTAGCGGGTCACCAAAATCTCGGTCTCAAGATGTGCAACCCTCTCACGAGCAACTTTCAAACTCTATATTTACTTTTGTGCGAGTAACCTCACAATGAGCTTACCTCCAACTTAGAGGCTCTTTAGCGGGTCACCAAAAGTTCAGTTCTTAAGAGGTGCAACTCTCCCATGACCAACCCTCAAACTTTGCCTCTGTTCTCACGCAAGTAACTTCTCTCCAACTTAGCGGCTATTTCTCTATAACCCAATGTGTCAGCCTTTCTCATTAGGTAATCATGTTGGATATTTTGATGCTGGAGTAACATTATTTTTGCCTTCTCTAGGCAAGCCCTTGGAACTCAAGCTGCTTGCAACTAGGTGCCCTGCTTCTGGCGCCCTGCTTCTCGCGCCCCTTCTAATGCCCACTCTTGTATCTACACCTACCCATGTGCCCAAGCCAAGCACGGCCCAGTTGCCTACGACTATGCTGTTACCTGAGCCCCTGCCTATACGCTGTCACTACCTCGACACTCGCCCTAACCCTGACGCCTGCAACCTCAACCACGACACCAGCCGCTGCCGGGTGCAAGAACCAACTGCTGCCACAGCCTCGGTGCCCACATTGCCCACGCCTGCAATGCCTGTGCCTGCCTCACTTGTGGTGCCCATGCCAGTGGCACCCACGCCCGCCTCACCCGTGCCACCCGCGCCCACTGCTTAAGTCGTTTGCCTCATTATCGACGTCTGTCTAGCGCCCGTTGCACAGGCACATGCTGCCTACCTCATCACCAATACCAGCAGCCTCTTGCAATTCCTTCTCCCTACTACACCACCCACCAGCTGTCTCCCGCCACACTGTTCAGGGACAACCCCACCGACATTTGTTTGCTTGTCACAACTCTTTGACATCTCTCCTAATATTTTCTCTCTCAAATGATAGGGTTGGGGTGGAGGTTTTCTAATCATAGGTTGATGACTTAGAGGGACAAGCCATATGAAAAAAGAAAAGGTTATTAGTCAAGAAGAGTCCTCGTCAACCAAAATTCAAGTTTAGTTAATGCCTTCTCCTCCAAATCTTATGAACCCGACGCATGGGGGGGAAGATGATGGGCTCGACCCAAAGCCCAACTCGGTTAGTGGGCCCAGGCCATATCGGATAGTGGGCCCAGGCCAGACAATGCCTAATGGATCCAGCCCAAAAAGAGACCTAGATCAAGTCAGGTTCACTAAAGCCCCGATAGTCACACCATCCTAAAGCCTCATCTATGTCATCCTAGAGTGAGGAGGTTTGTCACGTCATCTTGGGACCTGGTCTTGAGGAGATCTCTACGCTCTCTCAGCAATTGTCTCACTTGTTGCAAGGATGACGTCCACTTCGCCAAATTAGTCTTTTGTTACTAATAAGATGCTTCAATCTGTTAGGATGTGCCTATAAATTGTAAGTCTCGTCTACACATAGGGGGCATCTCTCACATCTTGTATCTCGCCTATTATTCACACTTTAGCACCCAACATTCCTTGAAGTAATAAAAAACTCAGGCCAACCAAGTCATTATAAGTGGAGTAGGTCATCTTCACTGAACTACTCTATATCTGTGTGTTGCTTTTATTGTTTCATCTTGATATTTACTACATTTATTATTTATTTTAATTAGTCGACTGGTGGTACATAAAACCAATTTGTGCATCATCATAAATAATTTTCAAAAGTTATAAATAATTTGCAAAAATTATAAATAATCATTATATTTTATTTTAAAAATCCACAAAATTTATAAATATTGGTACAGTACAAAAAAACGCTAAGAAAAGTATTAGCAAAAAGCAATACTAATGAATAATTGATTCAACATTTACTGTACAATAGCATGTACCATTCACCAATGTTCAGCCCACAAAATGCTAGTGCATATCCCAATCCCATCCATAGTTTTAAAAATCGGCCCAAATGTTAACTAGGCGAGAGGAGTGAGTTAATGAGTTAGTGATTCAACCGTTGGGTCACTGGTCAGACTGGTTATATAATAAAAAACTAAAAAATAATTATTAATAATAACAAAATATGCTTAAAAATATAATAATTATAAAAACAGTATGTTAGATCAAATAAAAACTCAAAAATTATCAACACATGTATCCAATTTTCAAGATAATTTATAAAACTAGGTAGAGAAAAATACCTTTATCCAAAGATCAATGAAATTGAGTGCACATAAGAGACCGTGAGAAAGACAAATAGATGGAGATGGGTAGATTCATCATCTGAGGCATCTACAGAATGAGTTTGAACTCCCAAATTGTCCACCTTGTTGCGTTGTAGATCTAAACGACGGCGTTTCGCCCTGCCAACTAGCATCAACAAAATCAATCACAAACCTAGGGTTTCGATCATCAATCATCGAATTCAACAGATAAGGACAGTGATGATCTGCACACACCATACCAGATTACTATTCACTAACAGGGGTGACAAAAAATAGGCCATAAGTTTTCAAAATCTTCACACAAGCCCAATATTCATAAAATAAGGAACCAAAAACAACAAAATAACAACCAGAGAGACAATTGAGAGAATAAAATATTCACTATGAGAGTTGAGAGAAAGAGATGAAGTACCTGTGTCAAGTGAAAAAAATGCAAGGAGACTATCGAGAGAAGCCAAGAAACATGATATACTTCGACGATGGTATGTTGTGACTTCGATCGTAGTTGTTGAGAGAGAGAGAGAGAGAGAGAGGCGAAGAGGTTCAGACTTCAGATAGCGATTAGGGCAAAAATGCCCCCAAAAAATAATTTTTATAGTGTCTTAAATGACCCGATCGATCCGAGTAAACCCACCCGATTTGAACGATTTCTTCAAAAACCGTCCGGTTTAATGGGTCTTGGGCGGGTTTGGTGCTTAAACAATCTAACTTAAGTACCGGCCCAATTTGGAGTCCGGTTCATCGGGTTTTTGGGTTAACCCGCTAGGCTGGGTCGGTTTTAAAAACATTGATTCCATCAGTATAGTGTCATCTCCCTCCTTTTTTTTTGGTGCTTTGGAGAGAATCTCAGTGACGTGGGTTCTCTTATAAATGTTTGGTAAGAATGATGAAAAATAGATGGAAATGATTTTTTATCCTTAAAAGAAAGGATTATATTTTCTCTCATTTATATTTGGTATGATGGAAGAAAAATTAAAAAAATATATTTTCTTTTGTTTGATATTAGATTGAAAATTAGATGAAAAGGAAAAATATACATATACCAAATTTACCATTATACCCTCACATCTAAGAGGTGAATTTTTCTATAGTAATTATCATAGAAAGTTTGGTAAAAAGGTTGAATTGCAAAACACACGAATCACCTATTCAGCATATATCCCTCAAACCAGATTCCAAGCTTGGATCCTATATCAATTGCTCTTTTTTTTTTTTTTTAAGAAAAAAAAATTATTGAATAAGTATCACAGAATTACAAGAATCAAAAAATTAATAAAATACACCTCTATTTTTTTAAAAAAAGAAAGAGAAAAATTTTGTAGAATGAATCAAGAAATTAGAAGAAGCAAAGAAGTACAAGAATTTTAACAAATCAATTTTACAACATGGAGGCTTTAATCTTTCAAAATGCCCAAAGAACACCTTCATTACCACCACGGCAGCAACCTCATCTCCCACAGCTCAACTCCTAACAGCCCAGCACAGCAAAAACATATCAGTCAGCTACACAGGGTGCGGCTCCTCTGCTGTTAGGAGGGAACAACATTGTGTGTTGTTAGCCAAAAACGCCACCGTTTAGTCAGCTTCTCACAATATGTTGTTGTCCCCCAAAATAGACCTCGAGACGGGGTCGTTCTACTTACTCTATTACAATTAATTTCTTTATCTCAAACTGACCAAGTAACAAGCAGGAATTCAACTGGTGATTGAAGTCGCCGATTCCTCTGTCTCTCTCACTAGTCTCCATTTCATAGAGTTGACCACCGCTGCCTTCATACTCCTCACTTTCTCTCTCTCTACTCTTTTTTATTTTTTCGATAAAAATGAAGCAAGTATTGAAGAAAAAAAAGGTAAAAGAACAATCAAATCACCAACTCTCTCTTCCTTTTATCATCTTGTTTCTCAACTCAGTTCAAGTCTACGAACTGTTTGATTCTTGAATGATATCCTCGAAATAATCAAACTACCATCTTTCTTGTTCTTCATTTTTATCAAACAGTTGGTGAAGTCTGTGCAACTGGGTGTGGGGAGCATTATTGGTATCATTATCTTTGATTGTTGACGGCAACGAAGAGGGAGAGATGGGAAGGTTGACAATTGAATACGAAGGTGGCATAGCAAGGAAGTTGTAGGTCAAATTCAAGAATGAATCGATTTTTTGCCAGCAATCAAGACGCACAAGTTGAATGGTAGCACTAACAAACTTAGGCAGCAGCAATGGTGAACATCAAGACTCCGGTGCAAATCTCTGTGTGAATATCAAGACCCAATTTTGATTGTTTCATTTCAAATATTTCTAGGGAAATCAGAGTAACAGTGTCAACTTGTTGGTGGCCAGTTTTTGGATATAGAAATTTATTGTGATAGAGTAAGTAGAACGACGTCGTCTCGAGGCCAATTTTGGAGAACAATGTGGTACTGTGAGAAACTGGCTAAACGGTGGCGTTTTTGGCTAACAACACGCAATGTTGTTCCCTCCTAACAGCAGAGGAGCTGCACCCCAGCTACACAGCAGCACAACACGTCACATAGCATAGCAGTAAGCTACACAGCAGCCTAAAAAAAAGGGTAAATTGTAAGGGGTACACCAAATTAGACTTATTTGACAAAAAGTACACACTAAAAAATATATGGTTATTAAGTACTTAATTTTAATACTTATTTATATTCAAGTACATAATTTGAAAGTGATTTTATTTTCAAATTAATTTAATATCCGAATAGTGTAATAATGTAACAATAACAGTGTAACAATGTAACAATAAAAGTGTAACAGTGTAACACTAACACTGTAACAGTATAAAAATAATAGTGTAACAAGTTATTTATACAAAATATTATACTATTACATTTTGTCAAACATATAGTTGCATATAATTTTATTCAAAATAGTTCATCTCTGTTGTTTTGAATTTGTTACCATATACACAAAATTACTGAACATTGTTTTTGTTACAGTGTATTTGTTACACTGTTATTGTTATATTATTACATTATTCAGATATTAAATTAATTTAAAAATAAAACTATTTTTCAAAAAAAAACGCTTGAATCAAGGTGCATATATATATATGCATACTTGTATACTTATTTATATACACGTATATATATTTACATGTATTAACAAATATACATGAATCAAATGTGCATTAAATACGTATTTATATGTATTAATAAACACACATGAATCAAGATGTATTAAAGGTTAGAGATTTTGAATTATATGACTTTAAAATGAGTATTTATGTCTTTTTAGCTCACATTTTGTTCTATATATTTTTTGTCAAATAAGTCTAATTAGGTGTACCGATTTTCAAAAAACCAAAAAAAAAAAAACACTCCCAGCCCAACAGCTTACCCAAAATCAACATAGCCCATCTACAGTTAGCAATGATCATCAAAAATCAAAATGTTTTTAGTACGCAGGACAGACAGCCTTATCTGGTCCTAAATCAATCAATAACATATTTTTTTAATCCTTCTCTTTTTCTCTCTTTCTCTAGATCAATTTTTTCCT